GGGAGGGGAGGCACTTTAAGTTAGAGTGGCTCCAAGAGCCGCTGTTATTGAAGCACCTTGAGCATCTTGTGTATCAACTTCCCCACACGTAAAAAATGGCAGTGAGGGTGCTTTAACTAAAGTTTGTTCCATGAATTTTAGTTAAATTACCCTTGCCACCATTTTTAAGCATGGGGATGCTGATACACAAGGTGCTGGAGTGCAGTAATTACCACACTTGAGCAGACTTGGTTAAATTGAGCCTGCTCCGAAGCACTGTAATTATAGTGCATCGGAGCAGCCTCGCTGCTCATGTATAGGCATCCTTTGTCTGGTCAGCATTGCTGGCCTCAGCCCCTTTTTTCCTTGCTGAGGCCTTCAGCCCTGGCCCACTGTGTCAGGTTTTGGTTGCTCAGCTTCAGCCCCTCTGCACCTCTGCCCTGTGCAGGGCTGAAAACACAGAGTCCCCCTTGGCACTCTGCTGCATGACCTCCAAACCTCCCTTTACCCACTCTCCAGTGCTCTGATTATAAACAAACCAATATATAAGCAAACTGGTTCCAACTAAAAAATCAAACCTCACTCTGGATCACTGTCCCCCAGTCCTTTGTACTCTTCTCTTCTCTTGACTGTCTCCTTCTAGCATGCTATAAGTGCCTACCAGTCTGTCTCCTGAAGACTCTCTCCCCAGGAGCTCCTCTCCCTGCATAGCACAGAGCCAGACTGCTGCTTCAGCTCAGGGACTGAGTTTATATCCCTCTAGGCACTTTCCTTCTGGCCCCTCCACCATGCACAGGTGTTTCCTCCTAGCCCAAATAAGCCCCTCTGCTGTTACCTGGCTGTTCAGTCCAATATAGCTCAGCTGTTCTTTCCTTCTTGAGGGGCAGAGGCCCCTGTTACACTGTCCCTTGTGTGGAAAGTTGTTGAATAAGAGGCAGCAGTGGACAGTAGGGCTGTGCAAAGTTCTGGGTGCTGATTCAATTTGGAGGAGATTTGACCTGATTTGGCGGCCGAATCTCCAAATCTAAATTGAATCAAGAGACCAATAAAAAGGTCCGAATTGATTCAAAACTCTCTGAATCAATTCAGAAAAGGTTTGGAGAACTTCGGAAATTTGGGTAGTCCCTGCTGGCTGCCACAAGGAGCTGGACCCAGACTCTGTGCTGGTAAGTAGGGGGTGGGGGAGCAAGGGCTGGAGGAGCGGGCAGGGGACCATGGGGGGACCTCTGCCAGGCCACATCTCCTGCCTGCTCCCCCACCCCCCTGAGCACTCCCAACCCCCACCCACTCTCCCAGCCCCCTCCATGGCTGCCCTGCCCAGCTGCAGCTCCTGGCTCTTTAAAACAAAAAAAAAACCCCCACTCACTGGCTGCTGCAGTGACCACTGGGGCTTCTGGGGGGTCATGACAGAGCCCCCCCCTCAGAATGGGGCAGTGGTAGGCAATGGGGATCGCCTCCCCACCTCCCTGCTGGCTGGCAGCAGCCAGTAAATTTGGGGCCTTTTTTTTCTTTTTTTAAAGAGCCGGGAGCTGGGCTGGGTGGGGCAGCCGTGGGGGTGGGGAGGCTGGGAGAGTGGGCAGGGGATGGGCCCTGCTTGATCTGGAGATTCAGCCGATTCGGCAGTTCCTGAATCTCCGAATCATATTTGGCCAAATCGATTTGGGACAGTGATTTGAATCACTGTCCCCCAAATCGGTCAAATCCAAATCCAAAGTGAATACTAGCCACTTTGCACAGGCCTAGTGGACATGTCCTGGTAGGACAAGGACATAGAAAACCAAACAAACAGGTCCCCAGCTAAAACAACAGGGCCAAAATTGCAGTGTCCTGGAGAAAGACCAAATTCCATGACATCATGGAATCCTGGGACCTGGATGGAGACAAATGGCAGAATTCATCACTCCTGGTGTTTCAGGATCTCTGCAAAATCCGGGTGGTGACATTTTGTTACTGGAGCTGATAAAAAAATGTTCTTTCCAGTGAAACAGGTTTTCATCAGACAATGTAGTTTCATCTCAATCAAAAACATGTAGACATGTCAGTTTTGAGGCAGTTTTCACCAGAGAAATGTTGAAAATTAAATATTCAGGGTGCAGACAGAAGTGCAACTTCTAGCTGCAACTCAGATTTCGGCAAAGCATTCTGAATTACAATGTTACCCCCAGTACCATAGTAAGGGGGTGGCGAGTGGGGTGACCACTCCGGATACCAAAGAAAGGGGCACCGACAGGCATTGTTGGTGCCTCCCCCTCGGGGGGGGGGCTGAATTCTCCCCCCAGTCTGAATTCTCTCTACACCCTTTCCCCCACTCTCATTCTGAAAACACTGGGAGCTCTGTAGAGGAGGCTACATTTTGAAACCTTTTCATCTGATACGTCATGCAATGATGGGTCAGATTTTCAGCCAATCTGCCATTTTTGAAGCTCTCTGCGTCCATGCACTTCTGTTTGGTCATAGTTATAAACTGCTTTCTGTGCCCAGATCAGGTGCAATTTGTCACTTCTGTCTGCACCTGACTTCCTGGTTTGCTTGCAAGAATGTTGACAATGTTTGCTGTGATGAGGTAAAAATATTTAACTTCAGTTTTGTCATTTTGCCTTTTACTTTACGTTAGCATTATTAATTGTGCTATTCTGGTATGTTTTCTAGGCTATATATTTAATATATTATCGTGCATTGTTTTGACATTATCTAAACAAAATTGTTTGGTCTTTCAAATAGAAGTTCTTCAGAATTTCCATTCCAGGGAAAATATTAAAATTTAAACTCTTTGTTCCAAAGCAGAAAAAAATGTAATTCAGAAACAAGACCTGGTTTGAAACTCTGCAGTTTCTCTGAAAAATCATTTCCAACCAGCTGTATTTGTTGATTGCATCTGGATACATCTTATGCTAAAATTGAGGAGATGAGTCAAATGGGCATAGGTAGGGGACTTATCCATATGTCAAAATCAGGACTGATGGAAGGAGATATTTAGATATTAGCTTCAAAGTTCCCACGACAGGTCCATAATGAGATTTGCTGTCATTGTGGGGAATGGTGGTATTTCCAATGCAGACATTTTCATTCAAAGTAACACTTCCCAATGCTGGGCCCCCAACTGCTTTTGGCTGGAGTGAGGACACAAGGTGCAGAGTATGGAGCAGACAGTTTTCTATCACCATTGCTTTCTGTGTTTGAGCACCTTGCTGAGTTCTACCAGAGCAATCAGCTCTGTGAAAAATGGAGCTTTTACATTGTTCAAACAATTTATTCACTCCTGGTGCTCAGAGGACAGAAATACTTAACTAGGTCTCGAGATAGAAACTTGCTCATGTCCCATTTTGCTAGCACCATATATCACACAGTTCTGCGACTAGTCCCTTCTGTTTTAATACAAAGCCCTTCCACGAGGAGTTGTTCAGTTTGCACTGTTGCTGGTCTGTTTAAGCCTGACAATAACTCCCTTCTTCTGCAATCTCTGCTTTTTGTTTTGAAGACATACCTTCCCCAGCCTGCTCTTTGCCCGGATCCTGTCTATAAGCTAATGCTCAGCTGTTGGAGACGAGACACTAAAGATCGTCCTTCCTTCCAGGAAATCCATCGCCTACTCCAAACATCGACCAGTGAAGAGTGATGCTTTGCTTCCCCCACCCATCCTGGTGGTCCCTGGCTCACCCCCAGAAGACACTCTCCTCCACACCCCCTCCTATACCCCCCCCAAAACACACTCACAAAAACTGAAGCCACTTCACTTGGACTTGCAGTAAATCCTTGGCAGTTGGGCATGTCCTTGTACATTAAACAGCGGTAAGAGTGGGGAAAAGAAGTAAGAAGAAACCAAGGCTACATCAGATTTAAATCTCTAGCTCATTCACCAAACCAAACTTTGGAATAAGGCTGAGACAAGGGTTATATATGGACACAACGTTTTCTTGTGTATCAACGGATTTAAGCAAAGAAGGTTTGATCTGTCCATTCTGGAAAGGAAAAATGTGAGATATACCTCCCCATGAGGAAGCTTGCGGTGCAGAGAGGAAGTGCTGGGAATACACCAGTAGGAAGGAACTTGCTCCAGGAATTCAACTGGGAAAGCAAATGTACTTGGGAAAAGGAAGAGATTTGGCACAGGGAATGCAGGTAGGGAATGCACTACTGATGCACACCATGGTGCAGGAGTTGCCAGTAGATCAGAGTGGACTCTGCAGTTATTTAGTGAAAAATGGAATGATTTTGGCTTTAAACAAGCTAAATGAACTGAACATTTGCCCTGATAGAAATCCTCCCATTCTCACTTGGTTTCAGCCAGTTAGGAAGCAGGAAGCCCAGACACATGCTATTGGCCAGGAAGGCGTATTCTACTTGGTAGGTGATCATTGCCACTGTGATGGGGGCATTGAATTGCATGCTGTGGTTCTCCTACATCTGCTGCAGAAGCAATGAGGCATGAAAAACAACTGGCCTAGAGGCAGCGGAAGGGTCATCCTGGCACCAATCTATATCTTCTCCAGAGCTACTCAGCCTGTCCTCTGTCTTCAAGGCTCATAGGATCATAAGAAAGTAGAGCTAGTGTTCTGATGGTAGGGATATCCTAGAAAACCAGACGAGGTTAGGTCTTAGCTCAGCAAGCTCCCAAAATCAGTGTCATATGGACATGTTAGAAGGCATATTTTAAGTCAAGTGATAATGTCCCTGAACATCCCCAGTCCACCTTCTTCATCTGTAATGAAAAAAGGAACATAGTTTTGCTCTTGCTAACATGGAGGGTTTTTGTTAGCACCCACTTCTGTCTTCAGAGCCCACAACTAACATCATCATAATGTTCTAAGGCTCAATCTACACTTCTAGGTGTAAGCTATCAGGATTCAGAGCTTGAAGTACTTAGGGCCAGTGTGGTATTGGTTGTTGCATCCACAAGAATGGATTATAGTCTGGGTAGGGTGTTACGCACCTGTCCCATTTGCCCCATCAGTTACTAGCTGATGCTCACAGAGGCTGCTTTGCCAATGGGAGGTTTTGGGGTTGTAATTCCTTTGCAGTTTTTAATTGAAAGTGAAAATGGGGAGCTTAGAGTTTACAATACACTTATATCTGTTCCTACAAGGAAGCCTATTGTTTGCATACCCAGTAAATCTCAGTCCTCACTGTAGTGTTGCTGGGTTACGTAGCATACATGGAGGGCCCTACCTACACTTTGTGAGACGTTAGCTGCATGAAAAAACCTTGTTTGTCTTTTCATTGATTTGTTAATCCAGCAGCTCTTGGCACATCCACACAAGTGAGCTTTGCAAATGTAGTTGTACCAGAGCCTTGTGGGATTCCCATGATGGCTACCAAAGTTGAAGTTGAAAAGTTGGTGGTATAAGTTATGCATGACAGCATGGAGTCAGGGGGCCTGGCTGAACTTATACAACTGTTTTCCCAGCTATACAGGAAACAAATATTGCAGCCTGAATTGGTTCAGCCAGAGCTAAGCTAACCCCCTCAGATGTGATGCCATCAATGCAGCCCGCTAGGAGGACCACTGCTTGGGAAAGCTGTTGTGTGCAGGAATGGGGTCTCACATACTTAATGTGTTCTAGCATAGATGAGGCCTTTTGTGTATGTTGCTGTGAGAGTACAATTTCAGGGGCCACGTGGAGAACTTGCAACTGCCTTCCCGCATACAAATCTTGCTTATAAAATTATAGAACGGGGAAGATCATACTGCATGCAGAGCAGAATATGTAAGTGTTGTTTTCCTGAATTTCAGAGCTTGGAAAGGCCAAGGCACCTTTATTTCCTGTTAAACCTAGGAGCTGTGGTACAACCATATATGGTACAACCTTATGCATAGAATCCCACCCACTCACAGAACCAGAACTGGAGCACCATTTCACTATTTAAATTGTGCTTATTCCTGTGTTTTACAGTCAGCTTTCTACTGCTGTAGCTGGGCCCCTTACTTTAACTAATTCACTCACCAGGAAAGAGCTGCACAAGCTGTTTTCAAGCTTCAGTTGTTCACAAGTCACTTGGTGAATTCTCCCAGCGGCTGTATGCTCCACAGTTCAAGGGGAAGGAAACTCTGGGTGCATCTACATGAGATGCTTACTGCGCATTAGCCTAATAACACTTGTGTGGTAGCATGGAGGTTAAAGACCATCCTAATAGCCTACTTCACAGTGTTATTAGACTACTGCACAGTAGCATCGCAAAATAACTGTGCAGTGGTGCTACTGCGCAGTATCTCTAGTTATTGCGCATTCAGTAAGTACTTCATTAAGCAAGTACTAAACTAAATGCGCAGCATCTAAGGTGCATTAATGAATGTGTAGACACACCCTCTGTGATCTCCCTCCATCCATGCGAATCCTGACTGGGAAGGAAAGAGAACAGGTGCCAACGGTAGATGATCAGGCCATGCAGACAGTGGAGAGGGCAGCGGCAGGATGAAAGTGACCAGTAAAGATGGAGGCCGTGGGCATGCCAGAAAAAAGTTGAGTGTGAAGACAGCTGGGCAGACTGAAAGAGGAATTGGAGGAACAGGAAAGGAAAGAAGCATGATGGAGGTGGGAGCTCAGCCTGGCAGAAGGAGCATCAGATGACAGAGGAGGGATCTGTGCCAGAAAGGCAAGGGTTATTTTGGAGAGAAACAAGGGAAAGTGGAAGAGGCAGAAGAAGAGTCGTTTGGACACTAGCTTGAGCCTTGGCAGACCCAGGCTCTACTCCCTTTTCTCCTGTAGACTCCTTAGGCAAGTGTCTGAGTGATGCTGTTCTTTCTCTGTACAGCTGAATAACAGCATTGCATTGTCAGGGAGGGGGTGGGATGGCATAGGGGACTGAGGGGAATAGGGCAAGGGAGGAAAGCATTTCAGTGCTCTGCCCCTGGCCAGATGAGCTCAAGGGCCTTTCCCGTTTGTTGTTCCTTCTCACAGATGAACGGGTTGGAAAACAAAAGTCAATAATTGGGTGCTTCAGTGGAGAACTCTCTCTGGTCTCACTGCGGCAGTGAGAGGACCCTGCTCAGCCTCTCTATGGGGGAAGAGCAGGGGGCAGACACAGGCTAAAGAGCATAACAGAGATTGAACCAGAAAGCTTCTGTGGAATGTATGGAAACTGTAGAAACTCACCTGAAAGCTGATTGGCATTAAAGAAGAACCATATCCTAAAGGCAAATGAGATGGCCCCTGTGTCAGAGTGCTGCAGGAATCCCCAAACTAGAGGAACTTGTCAAGCAAAGAGGAGGGTTTTTTGCATGGAAGACAGATTTCCAGGCAAATATTCAAATAAATTAAACAAATTGCATTTAACCTAGAGACAATAGCAGCACAGGCAGCCTGCCTATTGTGCACAAACCCAGTCTAGAATTACAGTCTCCTTGGTACGCTCCATTTAAGTGCACGGCCTCAGGACTGAAAAAAGAGGCTATGGACTCACTCAGAGTATGCACTTACTTGAATGCAAGGTGTTATGTCTTCTGACTTCAGAATGGTGGAAAGATTTGAGTAGCCTAGGAGACAGAGAGGGCCACACAGCTTACATGGCTGGTAACTTTATTGTCCTGAACAGGACCCAAAACTGCAAGCAAACTTGGTGCCTAAGGAGAGAAGAAACAGTGCCATGTCTAATGACTAATGCACAATACATCACACAAAGTAAACAGTGCTCATTAACTACAAGAAGATAGTTAATGGGCTACATCATTCAGACTCATTACTTTGTTTCTTATAGGGCCTTAGCTGTAGTGACAGCCCCTAGTCAACTTCACCAATTATGTGCTTACACAGAGTACAGTGACGCTCCAAAGCAGATGGTGGTGAACAGAGTTCTTAGCTCTATAAACTGTTTATGCGCATAACTGCTTTGCTACATTGTAAGTGATAGGAAAAAATTGGGATCCCTGCTGTGTTATTCAGTTAAGTGATTTCTCCACTTATACCATCTGCATATAAGTGGACTGCACTGTCCGTTGAACGGAAGAAGATAGGAATTGCCAGGGTGGATCAGATCAGGATACGTGTAGTCCAGGGCGCTGTTTCAGATAGAAATCAATACAAGATGCTTGAGAGGAAGGTCCTAGATGATGATATGCATTAAGAGGCCTTCAACAATATTATCTGGCCCCTTAAAGGTAGATTTCTGATTTGGCCCAATCTTTCTCAAGAACAAAAGTGTGCTGGGGCAGGAAGTATGGGGTGGGGGGCAGCTTTCAGGTGAGTGTGAGGCAGCAGTGCACGCTGGGAAAAGGGATCGGGAGATGCCAGAGCTCCTCATTGCCAGAGGTTGCTGGGTGGAGAAGGAAATATGTGGGGAGAGCAGGGTGTCACCAGTAGGCAAGGTGCTCTTAATGTTTCCTTCTGGTATTCAGTGAGGCCAGACCTGTTGTTGCGCTCCATACGGAGTGATCCAAGGGGCTGACTGGGTGTCACTCCAGGGAGGAGCTGAGGAGGTGACTACCAATATCATGGAAGAGCCAAGAGTTGGGGAAGGGGAAGCCACAGGATAGGAGAGTATTTTCCCTGCAGGAAGCGGGTGGTTTTTGGGCAAGCTTTTCATTAGTGCAGGACAGGATGTGAGCCCCAGAAGCAGAGTTTGTGGGGAGCTTCGGGCCAGTGGCTGCCTCCTGTCTAGGGTTATGGTAGCTTCTCTGAAGGAGGATGGGAGGAAATCTCTCCTTTGTCTCAAGTGTTGAAAGAAGGCTGCTGAGCCCTCAACGGAGGGCTGCCGTTCTGGGAAGAGAGCGTAACTGACTGACTGGAGCCAATGGTTTGGACTTTCATTAAGCTCTAGAACAGGTTGCTTTTTTCTAGCTTAGCTAA